ACTTCCTCTGGTAACTCGTTCCATACACCCACCACCCTCTGCCTGAAAATATTGCCCCTTGTGTCCCTTTTAAATCTTTTCCGCTCTCATGTTAAACCTATGCCCCTCCAGTTTTGGACACCCCCTACCCAGGGGAAAAGACCTTGGCTATTCACCCTCCTCATGATTTTATAAACCTCTATAAGGTCACCCCTCAGCCTCTGGAACTCACAGCCTTCACACTCAAGAGAGTCTTAAACGGTGGCAAAGGAGTGAGCCGGAGAGAGCAGATGCTTGGCAGCAGTACAGAGACAGGAGGGAGAGAGAGTCAAACAGTGAGCCTCACACTGCAGGGTGGATGGGTTGGGCACCCACAGACACTCCCTCACAGAGTTTCCCCTTGCCCACTGTGTGCCAGCCACCCTCACTCCCTGCAGTAGCGAGAGGAAGGAATTTTTTTTTTTTTATTTTCACGTACGGTGGGGGAGCAGTGAGCATCCAAGCCATCTGGAACCCTTGCTGAGTGCCGTCACGCTTTGGAGCATCTCCAGGGTCTGGCTGGACTTCCTGTTGGAAAACAAGCTCAGCTCGCAGTCCCTCCACCATCGCACCGCAGCCCCTCCCCGCTGCCTCCACCTCTGTTTTCTCCAAATGGACTTGTAGAGGATGTCAGTGTTTGCACCATGGTGGCAGGCCATTGAACAATAGTCTCAGACTAAAGGCTCGCCAATTTATGACCGAGATGAAGAGGAATTTCCTCTCTGAGGGTTATGAATCTTTGGAACTCCTTGCCGCAGAGGGCTGTGGGGGGGGTAGATTTCTTGCGTCCATTCAAGGCTGAGGTAGATAGATTCGTGATCAGTCAGGAATCCAGGGTTTTGGGAGAAAGGGCAGGAAAGTGGATGTGATGCGTTTGGATCAGCCGTGATAGTGTTGAATGGCAAAGCAGGATTGAGAGGCCGAACGGCCTACTCTTGTTCCTATTTCCCGTGATCTTACGTGACCCTCAGCTCTCTACAAAGATTGAAGTTACACCTCACCCCTCTCCTCTGTCTCTCTCTCCGTCTCTCTCTCTCTACGTCGGTCCCCCTCCCCCATCACACGATCAACATATCAATCTGTTCGTTCCCCCTAATCCAGCTGCCCCTACAGTAGCAGATCCCCTGTTCTCGTCACCCTCTGGGCAAAGGATTTGTTTTAATTTCTGCTGTTTAATCAACTCAGCAAGAGATGCAATCCTTCACACTTGTATTCTGCTTTGAAAGAATCACTGACTAGTTTCCATAACCTTCTCCACCACACTCTCACACTGCAACGGGTGAAAGCCAAGGGACTGTGAGCAGACACAGAGAGAGCGTTTCCACAGTCCATCGCCCTCAGGCACAGGATAATGAGACAGCCCAAGAATTCAAACCTGAGAGGTCAGCAAACACATTCCTGTGTATGGGGGAAGGGAGGATGTTACTCGCGTTGGGATGACCCACCACTGCAAGGCTCTGGTTAAATGAAAGAGCAAACACCCTTCACACGGGGAATTTGTAGCAGGCAGTTGTTGGAAAAGTGCAATTTTAAATGGTTGAGCTGTGCAGAACAGAGTGGGATTAGACTGAGTGGGGAGAGAGGATAGTGGGATTAGACGGAGTGGGGAGTGAGAGAGTGGGATGAAACTGGGTGCAGAGTTAGGGAGTGGGATTAGATGAGTGGGAAGCGGGGGAGTGGGGTTAGGCTGGGTGGGGAGTGACGGTGTGGGATTAGGCTGGGTGGGGAGTGAAGGAGTGGAATTAGGCTGACTGGGGAGTGAAGGAGTAGGATTTACCTGGATGGGGAGTAAAACAGTGGGATTAGACTGAGTGGGATGTGAACGAGTAGGATTAGGCTGGGTGAGGAGTGAGTGGGATTAGACTTGATGGGGAGTTAGGGAGTGGGATGAGACTGGGTGGGGAGTTAGGGAGTGGGATTAGGTTTGGTGGGGAGCGAGGAGAATGGGATTAGGCTCGGTGGAGAGTGGGATTAAGATGGGTAGGGAATGACGGAGTGGGATTAGACTGGGTGGGGAGCGGGGGGAGTGGGGTTAGCCTGGGTGGGGAGCGAGGGGAGTGGGATTAGGCTGGGCGGGGAGCGAGGAGAGTGGGATTAGGCTGGGTGGGAAGTGCGAATTGGGGGTGATTTATTTTTACGTGTTTGGGTGTCACTGGCTAGTCTGGCATGTATTGCTCATCTGCAATTGCCCCTTGGAAAAAAGGATGTGATGAGCCATTATCTTGAGCTGCTGCAATCGTGGAGTTTCTGTAAATCCACAGTGCTGTTAGGAACGACAGTTTATTTCCAAACCAGAGTGGTGAGGGGCTCAGAGGACAATTTAAGGTGTTGGTGTCCCATATATGTATTACTTTGGCCTTCTAGAAAGGCTGATGTTGCCATTACAATGATGTTGCATAATTTGGAAGGTACTGTCTAAGGAGCCTTGGTGCAGTGCATTTTATATATGTCTTTGATGTAAGAAATGAAGCTAATTCTTGTAGCCACTGTGTACATGTGCTTGTTCTGCTAGTGGGCAAAGGGTGATGGTTGGATAGTATAGTCTCTTATTGGAGATGGCCACTGGCACTTGTATGGCACAAATGTTTGCTTGCTACCATTGTTGACACAGGAAATGCGTGGCTGTGAGCCTGAGTACAACAAGATCCCAACAACGTTATAATGATCAGGTCAGCCAATTTAATGTTCTTCTTTGACACACCAAACACTGGTCAGGACACAGGATAATGGAAATCTTGCTCAAAGTATACAAGGTCAACTCGCCAGACCACAACTGGAAGACTGTGATAACAAGGTGTAAAGCTGGATGAACACAGCAGGCCAAGCAGCATCAGAGGAGCAGGAAAGCTGACATTTCAGGTCTGGACCCTTCTTCAGAAAATATTTTCATCAGCTTTGCTGCTCCTCTGATGCTGCCTGGCCTGCTGTGTTCATCCAGCTCCACACCTTGTTATCTCAGACTGCAGCAT